AGCCTCTGTTATAATAAAGGAAGGGTAGATGATCATCATAGCTTCTGCAAACTGAAAATAAAAAGCACTCGAGGAACAGTGCACTCAGGGACCAGAAGGCCGGTGTTTTTAAAGTATGTGCATGGGAGCATGTGAAATGCTGGCATACTGCCACTGATTCCCCCGTCTACAGCATATACCAATACACATCAACCAACACTGAAAAATTAAAAGTGAGCATTCAATCTCAAGAAAGTTTCTGAGTATTGAAGAGGCTGTCAAGAACAGCAGTGAAATATAGAGCTCTGGGAGTCATGTCAGGAGCTGGGCTGATATCACCTGCCACCCGGAGAACAACCTTCTGTAGATTATAATTACTGATTAGACTGCAGAGTGTAGACGGATTCAAAAGACAGCCCATATTTATTGTTTTACAAAATCTGTGTAGAATCTGGGCTTGAAAGACTTATGAGGGTGTGAGGCGTGTTTTGCACATTCTCTTTGAGTTTGATCCTGCCCGTGCTGTGGACCAGAGACACAAATGTAAGGCTAAAATATGAGACTGTTTCATGATTTAGAAAACTACTGTGTGATGTGAATAGATTTTTTTTTTTAAAAGACACATCCTTCAGGTGCAACATCACCGGATAAAAATCTGCCCTTTATGCCAGCGAATCTGGTAGGATGGAAGTCACCTGACAGCAATATAATGATTAATAACACTGCTAGTGAACAGCACACCCTGGGAAAAGAGCCACCTTTTTATCTGCAGGCCGTTAAACTGAATCGTCATCTCACACAGTTTGTTTCCATACACTGATGAGCCATATTGGACTGATTAGAGACAACCGTCTGAAAATCACGCACCACTGCAGCATATGGTCCCAAGGGGAAAACTACTTGGAAGCTCATGATGAAAAATGTACAGTAATAATTTCAATTTGGTTATTGTGGATTTTAAATTATACTACTGGGGATGAGCCTGTCAAAGTCAAAGAAAACTTCTATTTATATGATTATTGTTATGTGAAGTCTCCCTGGACCAGCAACGCTAATGCCAAGGATGTGTGATTATTCTCAGCTCATGACTGAGTTCAGAGCCCATCCAACATGTCAGCTACGGTCTCATCTTAGGGAAAAACAGACCTCTTCTCTGTCATAATTCAAAAAGTCAGAAGCCTAATAATTCACTGTGTTATCTACACCAAAACATGCTTTGCTGAAACAGTTTAAGATAATTGTTAACCGCTGTATGTTAAGGCAACAGTGATTTTCTCTAGTCTTTTATTGATTTCTTGGAAACTACATGCAAGCATGAAAACGTATACATGCGTGTGGGTGCTCTGAGGCAATACGACAGAATGAGACTGGCGGGCCGGCACAAAACTGATGCCCTGTCCTCTAGGGGGCTTTGGCAAGCCCAGAACATTTCTCTGCTGAATTTGCAGTGCTGCTGATAATGTCATGATTAAAGTTTAATCCACCAAATCTCTGATTCTTGATTTTCATGAGATGAAAACACGTCGCCTGAGGAGATCCCATTGTTTGAAGCTTCAGACGAGGTCGGATTGTCTCGTCTTCAAGAAAATGCACAGTCTGAAATACCCTAATGAAGATGTTACACTTTGTTCTCACACTGCTGATCTCTCCAGAGAAGCTAATTAGCAACCATGACCTGATCTTATGTCTACATGCTGAATTCACTCAAGTTGCTGACTGTGACTTGTTAGGTATTTTTAGTCAGATAGATATTGGATAGATACTTTATGTATTAGAAATGTTTAGTGGAGATAGGATGTCTAGTTAGACTGTTAAATGCTTAGGCATGCTTATGAGTTTCTACAGGGTACATCTGGTCAAGGATAACTAGAGAGAAGAGTTGATGACTGTCAGCAGACAGGGTGTTTAATATTATTATTATGACGTGTATAACTGTAGCCTTAGCCATAATATGTTCTTAGGTTTAAGTCACGACATGTTCTAGAAGTCTGTGAGAATGTTTTTAGCTACACACCACTTAATCAACAGACACACACACATTGATTTGCTTCATGTTTTGACTACTGCTATGACCAGCTGCAAAGCTGGTAACAGAGACGTCTCGGTTGACGTTTCTGTGTAGTATGGGGCTAGCCCAACCGAGGGGATATAATGTATAGGCCTGGTGGGTTCAGGGTCTTTCATCTTACATCTGCCTGCGAGCAGTTTGGAGGTGCAAGATGCCTGAGCGTGTAATGTTAATTTTACCTGTGATCCTTTGAATAAATCAGCACTGTTTTGAAGTTACTTGGACTGTCTCGTCTCTCAGAGTTAGCAATGGTAACAAGAACCAAAGACCAACAGACTCTTGTCTTGATGGAGGTCCGATTTGTTTTCCATTTGAATAAAGGTGCGCCGTATCTGATGGATGGAAATGGAAGCGGACGCGGAAATGCGAAGTTTGCATAACAATAACAACACAAGCAGGTTGCCACTGTTCATTCAATCATCAAAACAAAAATACAAACAAACATCCGCATAATTCATTAGCACTTCAGAAATCCCCAGCTTTATATAGAAACTGATGGTAAACAGGAACCGTTAATTGTGAATACAGTAAATAATGCAACAACTCTCTTCTGGGATCAGGGGACTAATTTAGCCACAGCTCAGAGGTCACCTGTTGACAGTCCCTGCAGTACAGTCTGACTGATATGTCAACAGATAAAGTGGCTCAGAGGAAATGCAAAGATACCTTTTCCATCATCCGTGTTACACTTATCTTAGGAATGTCTGTCTGTTATTAAGAACTCAGGAATCAGGAAAAGTCGTCATCAGCGACCAAGTCCAGGCATAAACTGCATTCTTTCATCAAACACTTCCTGTAAACAGACAAGTGTTTCCTGTGTTGATGCACATGTGGTTGTATAGCTGCTCTCTGACTGTGGACACCGGTGTCGCGTTGCCAGGTCTCGCTCCACGTCTCTAGAAAAAAAAAAAGCAACCCTCCACACTGGCTTACACTCACATCACGGCACATAGTCCACTGATGCACTCTGAGGAACCACCATCTGTTACATTTTCATTACAGGCTTTGCTTCAAGCTCAGACAATTAAAGTTAATAGAGTGCAAATGTTTGGGCCCGTATTGCCAACATTACAGAGTCCCACACATTCTTATCCATATCCAGAAGGCAGTTTAATGAGAAAATACATAGTCATAAATCATCACAGGTAGCCTCACTTTGAGTTTTGATAGCCAGCTCATGCACATTAACTGTTAATTTGAAACAACTTTGCAGACACTTATCTGACATTACTTTGAAATTATTCTTGAATGTTGGCTTAAAGTGAATTCTGAATTACTCCTAACTACTCCTAAATACTAAGTGGGCTGGTAATGGCTCTTTTATCCCCACTATCTCTTGTTATGTACAATTAGAAAGAACTGCCCATGCTTTCTGTCAGTGATCAGTGAGCACCTATGAGAAAATGCTGTGAACAGATTCTTTTAAAGGCACTTGGGCAAATTATCTTTCAGCTAAAAAAAGGACAAGCTTAGATAAGCATCTTTAGCCCCCGAGGCTTGGCCACCCCTGAGGTGAGAGGATTGCTGCACATGAAGTGAAGGCTTCAAGTGCTGCATGTAAAAATGGAAGGTGCTCTTGTAGTTGGCCCTCAAGTGGGTGGCACAGACATGTTGCCCTGTGGGAGTTGGGGCCTTGGGGGGGGGACAATGACTGGGCTGTGTGAAGTGGGAGCTGCAGAGTTGAGGGTCACGGGGCCCCATTTCTCAGATCTGCACCACCAAAATGAATGTTTAGTGAAAACACACTAAAAAGAGGCTGTGAGGGAAAGCTACGGTGAGGGGTTTTGTTTCTGAGCTTGTGACCAAGTCCATCCATCATGTGTCACTGTTATGTCAACAGTAGTTTACTAAAACATCTATGTTTAAGACTATTACATTGCTAGTTTAGGGTATTTTCTTTATTCACCATGAATAAGTAGGTTTTCTTTACATTTACTACTGAGGGTTACTTGGGCAGATCTGCAGACTCCTTATATTTGGGTGGAGTATAAAAAGTCATAATGAGGCGAGGTTTCTGTATGTGTAGCGTAAAACAAAATGGTCCTCGATGATTTTCTTTTCACCATGGGATGTAGAAACTTGTCACCTCGATGTTGCTCTATGGCTAAAAGCGATAAGAAAAGTTTTTGTACTTGTAGTGCTTGCTTACAGTTCTCACAATTCACAGGACCATGCAACCTTTCCTGTTTATTGTCTGATAAATAAAAAAAAACTATACAAGTCAACATTTTATAGCCACGTAGGGCGGCGGTTTTCTTGTTGCTTTTGTTCATGCAAAGAATATAATCTGTGTAACAAAATAGAACAAATGACTTCGGGGCAGTGAAACAAACATTACGAGCGATAGGATCGGGCACAGTCTGATAGGTTTTGTTTCCCCGTGGTTTCTCCCAGTGTCACAGGCACAAAGTTCAAACAGTGCGAATGATTTAAGCCACCTTCAGCGAGAAGTGGCTGCCAATGCCAGTGTGGGTAAAAAAAAAAAACTATTATGAGGAAGAAAGGTCTACACAGCTGGCGCAGTTACAAAAGCAGGAAAGCATGAACCTCATCTCACACCTTCCTTCTATCATCCACTTCCACTCATAAGCTGGTATTTTGATTCATGGATTCCTGGCAAGCAGCCCTGTTTCCAATTCAAAGAGTTTTCAACAAGAGCATCTGTTTAGGTATTGTCATAAACCTGCATGCACCCCCCACCCTTCACCTCCCTACTCCCCCTCCCCTAGCTCCCTTTACCACTTCTCTCCCTTTCTTTGCTTGTCCATATGGACTTGCATGCGTGTGGAAAAGGGGTGGAGAAGGTGGGTGATGGTGGGGCAGCAGGGGCTTTTCCGTGACCCAGGGAGTCACTGATACATAAGCCACATGACCAACTAGTCTCCTTATCCAAAGCAAAACAGGGCTCACACACACACACACACACACACACACAGGAGACAGACCTGCACGCTGACTTCCAGCACATTCACAGCTCCACTGAACTTGGCTCATGCTGCCGATTCTCTGACAGAAGAAAAGAAGACACACACGCACGCACACCTCCGTGGGAGCGCTCAGATAAAGACGTGCCTTCAGTCTTGGAGTGGCACTGTCATACACTGATATACAAATACGCATTTAGACAAATACACAGGCACAGTCAGGGAGCCAACACACGCTACACACATTTCCACAAACTGACACACTCCTCAAATACACACACACACACACACACGGGAGCAAACAGTCTCTCTTTCTTTCTTGCTCGCTCAGCTGCTCTCCCTCCCATCCACACACGCGCACGCACACACACACACACACACACAAACACACACACACACACACACACACACAAACACACACACACACATACACACACACCACTACAGTATATCAGCGAGTGACTAGCGGAGAGCCAGAGGGGAGTGCAGAAATGAATGTGAAGATCCTGACGCTGGTGATTGTGCTCTTGGTGTCTCTGCTGTGTTCTGCCAGTGCTGGTGAGTACAGGAGCGGCCAGCCTTGTCGCCAGTCGTCTCCCTTTGCTTTCTATTTCTCTCTCTGTTTGCCTTGGGCTTGTGCAGGCAGCTGTAGTTGATCAGTTACCCAGCATGGTTAGCCTTGTGTGGGCTCTAAAAGGCAGGAATATCAGCACCTGGCTGTATATAGTACTGCACTGCAGTGGTTATACTGTCTGCTATTGTACTGCCATGGCTTTTATGGTAAACTTGAATGTGGTTTCAAGCTTAAATCCATGATTTTCCTCACTGCCTCACCTTGATGCAAGCATGTAAGTCTTGGGGATGAAATATGAACAGCTTTTTATTGAGGGACATTCATGTCTAGAGCTAAGCCTGGGTGATAGATAGACTGGATGTATGGGTGACTGTTGTGGCTGTTATAAAATGTAAGATATGCAATTGCACATGCTGTGTAAGGTCCTGTAAATCTGATTAATTTATGGTTTGATATATTCCATCTGAACCAAGAGCTGTATGATTATTACATGGCAGTGGATGTGCAGCAGGGCAACATATCACCTATATATTCATGCAAGTCGCCTGTGGTGATGATAATGAGGACTGTAATTGCTGTACGCATCAATGAGGGGAACACAGATCCCAGATGCATGGATCGTCTCTGGAGGGACTCAGTCTTGATGCCTTGTCACAGTAAATTTCCGTAAAGTGCTGCTGCATCTCTGGAGCTATTGTTGGACTAGATATCATTTCCAACGTGGACTTAAAATGTCTAATATTTGGAACACTGACTTGGGTCAGTTATACAAGGGCAGGACATGTTCTCTCTCATGGCTCATGGGAGTCAATGGGTTCTGAGAAAGTGGGCTGTGGGGATTAGTTTGGAGACCAATGGGCAGTCTGCAGATGTGATGCAGGTAGCACTGTGGTGTGAAAAAACAACTGTTAGGTCTGTGTAAATGTCTGGACCATTCTTGAGATTATCACCTGCCCACCAACTACAGTGACTTAGCACACACACACACACAGAAGCTGTGTACTAAACATATGGAAGATGCTGTGTAGTCTATGTGCTAGACAGAAGATGTAGCGAATATAAGATGCAGTATAGATTCCAACTATAAGATTATACTTCATCTTGGAAAATGTAGGCCTAGTAATATATACTATAAAATGCTCTATAGACTAAAGTGTATGTTGCTAGGTGCTATATAGACTGTGGTTATAAGATGCTGTGTTGACTTTATGCCTGGAAGAAGCTGTCCACTCTGTGTATCGATCCATGGCCACAGCACTCACATCTCCCATGCTTCCCAGCACATTCGTTACAGCGACATGCTATTTTTGTCTGAGGCTCTCAGCACATGAGTAAATGGGAAGCAATTATCTAGCATCATGGTCAGTGTCGTTTTTCACGCCCTGCATGTGGCTAAGCATACTCCACGCCTCAGAGCCCCCTGTGCTACATCAGCAACGAGGAAAACAAGTCGGCTGTGCCTTGGGCTTTCATGGGAGCTTATCCTTCTCAGCGTTGTTCAAGTCATGCCACTTATATGCCTCTCTGTTCCCTGGCAGCTACTGTAGTATCAAAGCTCCACTGACGGAGAGGACGAGAGAAAGGGAGTGAAAGAGAGGAAGGGATGCAAGTGTGTTGCGGCGTTGATGGGTGTGGGGAGGGATGCTAGCTGGAGTGTGTCTGCGTAGCACAAGCCTCTGCTACAGTATGCGCTGTCGCGGGAAGGTGTCGGAAGAGGCTCTGCATGTAGGCAGTGGGTGTGAAGCCTTTCATCTTGAGACAAACGCTTTTCCACTTCAGTGAGCTTTCTCTCTCTCTCTCTCTCTCAGGCATTTGTCTTTGTACATGTGTCTGAGAAATGAAAAGATACACAGAGTGATACAGAGGGAGCGTGTGTGTGTGTACACTTGCAGGAAGCAATGAATATAGGACTGAATCTGAGTGATGCTGGGTGGGGATGTGTGCATGAGAGTGTGTCTTGACTGTATTTATGAATGTATATGCATATTAGCCAGAAGTCCTAGCGCAACAGGCAGTTCACCTCAATAACAAAATGCTACTTACAATATTCATTCAGCACAATAAAAGACCTGCTGTGGCCTTCTCCGTGTAATATTAGCATCCTTTAGCAGCACACTTCAATTACCCATCCTTGAAAAGCACTGGCTGAGGAATGGGCTCCAGCTTTAGACATGTGGTATCCATAATTCATTCCGAGGCTGAACACTCTTCCTCCCTGTGTAACTCTTAAGTCTGGTATATAAACAGTCCTTATTCTCTAAATATTCTTGTGTCTGTCACAACCTTTTAGTAGATATCAAAGCTTCGTTTTTATATACCCACCATAAAAACACCCTACCGATCTCCACCTAGGGACATGCAGAATAAAAACAATAGCAGCTGGCTCAGACACACACTTGCCCACGAGCACATATACACACACAAGATGTAATTGTGAGGTCTGAGTTGAGCAGGTGAGGCAGTTGTGAGTATGAGCAGGGCATGAGGCCCAGATCAGAGGCATTATCTGGCAGAGAAATCATCTGCTTGAGAAGGGGGTGTTTCTATGAGAGCTGTCAGCAGAGCTATTATTCCATATTAAACTTTGATGTATTGTTGTTAGGGCTGGTTGCTCTGTGGCACTACCATGCGTTCATACTGTACTGTACTGTAGCTAGCCTAGCTCAGACACTCCACCAAGTGTGACAGGTCGAAGTACAACAAAAACAGGAGAGCTACAGCAACTCATTAAGACACCTAGAGGTATAAAATGCTGCTGAGCTTGGTCTGATTATTTTGTTAAACAACATCTATAGAGCTAAACCAACCGTAACCAGGAAGCTTTAAATCAGAATCCCCAGTTGTCTAATGCAAAGAAGGTATTTGTGCCTGTAGATGCGATTACGGTGGCCGTGGAGAGAACAAAAAGCAGCTAAACTTTTCCAGATGTCCAGACATAACATAATAACAGTGGGCAAACAGTTGTGTCAAAGGGGAGCAGTGAAAAGGTTAGTACAGGATTATGGAGAATCACACAGCCTTTTTTAATTCTTCTTCTTTCTCTTTTTGTTTTGTTTAGTTTTGGTCTTTTTAGGCACATGAGCTTGTGAGCACCAGCTCTCTCTCACACACACACACACACACACACACACACACACACACACACACACACACACACACAGAGGATCAGATTAAATCCGTTTCATGAAGAACCTGGAATTCTTCTCAATGTAGCCTGCAGCATCACACTCATAAACAGTCCATAAGCTGTGTTGGTGATATGAGTAGGTAATTTTGTCTCTTGCAGACTGTCTTGTTTATCCTCTGTGGGCTTTAATAGTAGCACTAAAACTATGTTATTATGACACATTACATAGCCATGTTGGTTGGGTTTAGGGGTGGGCGTTGACATTTTACAACATAAGATGATATAAATTCATCGGCTGACAGAGATTTTACTTTTCTATTTATACTGTGGTAGCTAACTCTTTAAGGTTCCTGAATGTATTATGCAGTATTAATGTCAAATGGTTTAGAATCTAATTACACACAGCCAAATAAGAATTTCTCCCACCTGATGAAGTGGGTACATGTAACTGATATCCAATTACTACAATGAATTTAGCCGATTTAACGGTATCTCGTTTCACTTGTTACTGAACTGCTACAAATGTTTAACACCACAAAAGTATGAAGTTAATGTTGTTCAAATGATGAGACAACAAGGTTAACATTAGGGGTAACCCCAAGTCAGTTGAATATGAGGTTTACCAGTTCTTCCCATCCTGCTTACATTGTGCACATAAAGGATTAGAACACTGCATTCTATGCTGTTTTTTCATTAATTTGATCAAGAACTTTGATGGCACTTAAATCGCTGTATTAGCCAAAAACAACCCTGTGTGGTTACTTGATCTAATAACTATTTCTTGACCAAAATACATCAAGTAGCCACACAGGGTTGTTTTTGTATTGTATGTATTGTTGTTAGGGCTGGTTGCTCTGTGGCACTACCATGTGTTCATAATATACTGTACTGTACAGTATGAACGCAAAATATATCAAGTAACCCTATGTGGTTACTTGATCTAATAACTATTTCTTGACCAAAATATGTCACTGTCATGACATAAAATTAGATATACTGCAAAATAAGATATCATCCACATCGGCCATCCCTACTCAGCTGCTGTAGGTTTCAATGAGGAGATTTCTCTGTTTTAAACCAATTCACATCTGTATAATATCACCCAACATCAGCTTGTGAATGGCACTCACAAATGCTCTGAAGCTGAGGAAGAGATTTAGAGAAAAATCATAACTCATTTGGTAGGGATATAAGGCTAACCTTTGAGCTAACACTCCCTGGAGAGCTCAGCTGTTGAAGATTTTGGCACATGTGACTGCTGGGCTGCTCTAATGTAATTCAGAGCCCTTTGAATGAATAAATCTGCTCACTTAGATCTTCCCTTGAGAGCAAATGCAGTGAAGGAGAGAAAAGGCAAAGGGGAAGTTAAAGACGAGTCAAGGGACAGAAAATAAAAGGAAGGTTATCTGGGAGCTGAGAGGTTGTGCAAGCTTTCTGTTGTGAAGGAAGTCACAGCTACATCTAAAAACTCACAGCTGGTAATCTGGCTCATCTTCACAGATTCCATATGTGCAATAGTGACACTTCCTGGCTTTAATGAAGTCTGTTCAGCTTGTTGTAAATTAAAGTCCGACTTCTGATTCTTTATAGCTTATAAGTCTGGTGCAGTCCAGACCCCCTTTTAAGTATTAAGGGTTTGAGCATGGGGTAGTGGGGTACCTGCCTTAACCAGACCTCGTGTGAGCACCAGACCCTATCCTCAGGCCCAAGATGCTCCCCACAACTTAATCAGAGCCAGATATTCTCAAAAACAACTCTGTTTTCTTCTAATATTAAAGTGATTTATGACTCTCTTTTTGATTGTCACATTTATAGTCGCTGTCCTCAGCAGATCAGATTCCCGCTCAGGATCTGAGT